GCGCCGCCCAAAAGTGTACAACAGCGCCGCCCGGACGTGTACAACAGCGCCGCCCGGAAGTGTACAGCGCCGCCCAAAAGTGTACAACAGCGCCGCCCGGACGTGTACTACAACAGCGCCGCCTGGAAGTGTACAACAGCGCCGCCCAAGAGTGCACAACAGCGCTGCCCGGAAGTGTACAACAGTGCCGCCCAAGAGTGTACAACAGTGCTGCCCGGAAGTGTACAACAGCGCCGCCCCGGAAGTGTACAACAGTGCCGCCCGGAAGTGTACAACAGCGCCGCCCGGAAGTGTACAACAGCACCGCCCAAAAGTGTACAACGGCGCCGCCAGGAAGTGTACAACGGCGCCGCCCGGAAGTGTACAACGGCGCCACCCAGAAGTGTACAACGGCGCCGCCCGGAAGTGTACAACGGCGCCGCCCAAAAGTGTACAACGGCGCCGCCCGGAAGTGTACAACGGCGCCGCCCGGAAGTGTACAACGGCGCCACCCAGAAGTGTACAACGGCGCCGCCCGGAAGTGTACAACGGCGCCGCCCAAAAGTGTACAACGGCGCCGCCAGGAAGTGTACAACAGAGCAGCAGGGGTTGTACCCCCAGCGCCGCCCGGACGTGACCAAACAGGGACACCACCTGATGATCGCAAAGGCACAGGGAGCGGTCGAAGTGATACAACGGGGACACACGGATGGCGCCGTTGTACACTTGGGTCGAAGTGCACAACGGGGACACCCCAGATGGCTCCGTTGTACACTTGGGTCGAAGTGTACAACGGGGACACCCCGGATGGCTCCGTTGTACACTTGGGTCGAAGTGTACAACGGGGACACCCCGGATGGCTCCGTTGTACACTTGGGTCGAAGTGTACAACGGGGACACCCTGGATGGCTCCGTTGTACACTTGGGTCGAAGTGTACAGCGGGGACACCGCGGATGGCTTCGTTGTACACTTGGGTCGAAGTGTACAACGGGGACACCCGGATGGAGAGTCAAAGTACAAGAGCGGAGACACCTCCCGGGGTGGGGTGGGGGGGGGTGGGGGGGGGGAAAATTGGCAAAGTGTACAACGAATCAGGGGGGTCCCCGGATACCGAATTTCGTTGTACACTTCGGCCGAAGTGTACAGCAAAACCATGGGTTTTGGGGGTGTGTACAACGAAACCAGGGGTGCCCAAAACCCTTGGTTTCGTTGTACACACCCCCAAAACCCATGGTTTTGCTGTACACTTCGGCCGAAGTGTACAACGAAATTCGGTATCCGGGGACCCCCCTGATTCGTTGTACACTTTTATCATATTCCTTCACTTTTGCAATTTTCCTACACTTTGGCCAGGGGGCTGGAGAAGGACAGGTTAATAAGTCAATTTTCCTCAAGCTATTAGTAAGGAGTGGCTCGCTGGAACACGAGCTACATGTTGCATGGTTTGCACACTCATTTCCCCAGCCCTTATGCTCTCTGAGGTGCCTCCCAGCGCATTGAGCTCCAGCGCATTCTGTGAGAATCTTGAGCAGGTGAGTAGGCTGGGGACCTGGCAGACCTGGGGACCTGGGGGACCTGGGGACCTGGCAAACCTGGGGACTTGCCTTGTGAAGGACGCATGAACTGAGCGTGTCTGTGTGCAAAAGCGTGCTGCCTGCCAGCTATAGCACTGGTACAAGTGCGTGGTCGCATTGAGCTCCTGCGCATTCTGTGAAAATCTCAAGCTGACTGAGTAGGTGGGGACCTGGGAGACCTGGGGACTGGCTTTGTAAAGGACGTGTGGCATGTCGCTATTTGAGCGCTTGCTGGCGGCAGAGGAGGAGCGTCCCAACCAGGGCGAGTCTCAGGAAAGTCTGGTTTCAGATACGGGAACTCCGAAGAGTGAAGTAAGTCCCCTCAGCCTCAGGCTGCAGGCCCTGGAAGGCTGCACAGACACACCCGGCAAGGAGCTGTTCCCCCACTCACCTGGCCCAGATGGGGTTCCCATCTTGGCAAGCTCTTCCAGCCTGAGCCCGAGCTGCTGGCCCAGAAGCAGGGGCTTTCTGAGCAGGACATCTCCATCGTCTTGCCTAGTGAAGCTGGGGAGTGCGAGGAGCAGGAGTTCTCCCTTGTCTTGCCCAGCACCGGCCAAGATGGGAAGCCCATCTTGGCTGAGGCAGGTAACCTCCCAGAGAAGAAGATTTTGGCGGACGCCGCAAGCCAGGACTGCTGCATGGTATCGGAGCATCCAGTGGCACTGATGCGCGAGAAGACATGCACACCCCGCCTACCCAGAATCCAGTGAGTTACGTAATTTTTCACGGAGCATCCTTTGGACAGCTCAATTCTTCAGACAAAAAATTGAATCCGTTCAATTCCCCACGCACTTGGTGCGGGGCAGGGTGGGGGGGGGGCTGGCGGGGGCGTCTGCTCTTACAGAGCAGTTCAATTCCCCACACTCGGGGAATTGAAACATCTAGCGGAGCAGTTCAATTCCCCACGCACTTCGGCCTGGGCGGCGGGGAATTTAACCATACCTGGACTCAATTCCCCACATATTGAAAAGCAGTTTGCACTTGGAGGGGGCTGGCGGGGAATTGAATCCCCAAAAATATAATAATCAATAGCAGCGTCTGTTTGACACACACACACACCCACACCAACGCCCACCCACACACCCACACACACCCACACCACACCCACACCTGCACTGACACCCGCACTGACACCCACCCACCCACACACACCCACGCACACACACACACACCCACACCAACGCCCACGCCCACACCCAAACCCACACACCCATGCACCCATGCACCCACACTCACGCACATGCATGTCCATGCATGACATGCATGTGCATGCGCACTGACACTCACTCCCACACCCACACTCACACACACTCTCTCCTCTCTCTCTCTCTCTCTCTCTCTCTCTCTCTCTCTCTCTCTCACTGTCTTACTCTCTCACTCTCTCTCTCGTTTTTTTTTTCTCTCTCTCTCTCTCTCTCTCTCTCTCTCTTTTCCGCACACACACACACACACCAAAAGAAGCACACACACACACACACACACACACACACACACACACACACACACACACACACACACACACACACACACACACACACACACACACACACACACACACACACACACACACACACACACACACACACACACACACACACACACACCACACCCCACACCCCACACACTCACACACCCACACCCACACCCACACCCACACACACCCACACCCACACCCACACCCACACCCACACCCACACCCACACCCACACCCACACCCACACCCACACCCACACCCACACCCACACCCACACCCACACCCACACCCACACCAACACCCACACCCACACCCACACCCACACCCACACCCACACCCACACCCACACCCACACCCACACCCACACCCACACCCACACCCACACCCACACCCACACCCACACCCACACCCACACCCACACCCACACCCACACCCACACCCATGCACGCACGCACGCACGCGCGCATTCATGCATGCATGCATGCATGCAGGCATGCACGCACTCTTGCCGGGCAGGCCCCTGCATGCATCCAATCCTTCACCCACCGATGCGCATTCACACAGAGCCCGCACACTCATGTATGCACGACGCGCGCTCGCACCCACACGCAACGCACAGTGTACACAGGTCACACACATGCGCACCAGCGCTGCGCCAGGACAGTGTGCGCTTGCTGGACTTTGAGTCGCCGCTGCGCACCAGCGGCCACCAGGATGCCACAGAGGCCATGGCGTCCATGGCCAAGCATGGCGTGATGCAAAGTGTTGTCTTTCTGCCAGGAAGCTGAGCGTGCAGGTGGCCCTGAAGAGTCAGAAGAGGCCCTCCAAGCTGAGAGCAGTTCGGCTCCTCACTGGGTTTGTGCCAACTCTTGTCAGGAAGGTGACTTCAAAGAAGATGTGTGCTGCGAGCCGAGCGGATCCACGCAGGACCGCTCGCATGGGCTGTGCACTTTCCTCGCTTGCTGCTCAATTCAGTCAGGCAGACGCACTCCTGGAGGGGCCCGTCCAAGAGTCCTCTGCGGACATCCCTGAAATGTTCACGGAGCAGCCCACGGCAGAAGAGCAGATGGCCATCCAGAGGGCCAAGCGCAAGCTGAGCAAGAAGGTGGCTGCTGCGGAGTTGCAGCGCCCAAACAGCCCACCTCGCGGCATGACGGATGCAGACTGCCACCTGGAGCCCGCTGGAGATGCGCAGCCCGCTGGAGCACAGACTGTGGGAGATCCTGAGCCTCCAGCCCCAGTGGCAGGGCCAAGCGTGCCCTGGCGCAGGCGAAAGCTGCTACGTCCAGCACGGCCTCGGAGTGCAACTTTTGCAGGCCGCAAGCGCAATGCCGCAAACCAAAGCTTGCTGGACGACCTGGAGGACATGTTCATCGAGATGGTGCGTCGTGCGCACAGCTTGCCATCCAACTTGTCACATCACTTTCAACGAGCCTTCTATCAGCACTGTGCAGGGCGTGCAGACTTGGAGACTGCAGTGCAGGAGTTTGCTGACGAGCACGAGCTTTTTGAAGGTCCGGAGCCTGAGGAGCCAGCGCCTGCCTTCGTCAAGGCCAATCAGCGTGGCAAGATGCTGAAGCGCCCTGCTTCCTGCGAGCCAGTCAAGAAGCCTGCCGCCAAGGTGAAGGCTTGAGGCCCGGGTGCCACAGCCCACCTGAGATTCTCAATTGCTTGATTTTGGTGGAAAAAGGAGCTGTCATGAGCCAGCACGTTGTTGCCTGGCGAGTGACATTGGTTCGAGTGCATCTTTCTGCAGTCACGCCTGAGCCCTGCTGATTTCGAATCAGTGACCCTCAGCCGGACAAAATACACACTTGTCAGGGATCTGGCAAGTCGGGGAGGCTGTCGCTTCCGTCGCGTCACGGCACAGACTCGCAGCTTAGCGCACTGACTCCGGCTCAAGCCCTTAGTTAGAGATTTACTTTTTTGGGAGGAAAGTCCTGGGGACCTCTGGGGACCTGGAGACGTGAAGATGTCCGAAATCTCAGTGGACAGGACAATTGAGATGCCGCCACCCTCGGAGAGCAGGGACGCCTTGTTGGCTGACGCCCGCCGCGAGGTCATGCTCCATGTGCAGGGTCAGCTGAGGGACTCTGCTGGCAACGTCAAACACGCAGATATCAACAGCTGGCTGGCAGAGGTTGTGGCAGAGCCGCGCACGCAAAACTGCCTGCAAGAGTTAGAGTTTGCAGTGCAGGCCCGCTACTGCCCACCAAAATTGCTGACATCCATCCCAGCACCTCCGGCCAAGGAGAAAACAATCGCCTTCAGCCTGAGTTGGAGGAAGCTGGGTGTGAGAGAGGACAGGTTCTGCCGTTTCGCACCAGCAGTCCCTCAAGTGATTGACTGCAGCACGTTCCTCCTTGACAGGGATGGCTGCAACTCTGGCGAGTCGCCAATCACAGTGTACTTTGACGAAGCAGCAGGCACTGAGATGCAGGATGGCACTGTCTGCATTGATGCAGGCTCCGGCTGCGTCACGGCCTGCCACACAATCCTCACAGTAGCAGCGCTGCAAGAGTGGCACCAGAAACCAGGCTTTGCCACCATTGCCCCGTACTTGTACAAGTGCATGTACCTCCATTGCCGCTACATGTTTGCCAAAGACCTGACCAAGCGGCGACGGCTGTCCACGTGAAGAAGAACGAGATCACCCAGAGGACACGGACAACTCCGCTGCGCTTGGCCAGGACTGTTGCCCACACCCAATCGCAGGCATCAGTGTCACACTTGCCCTACTAGCAGAGTAAGTTGTCGGCCTTGTTGGCACAGTTGATCGGTGATGCATGAGCGGCATTATGTCTTGTTGCAAGCTGGCCGACAGGACCATCCTGGCGAACTGCTCCGCAGAACGCCGCATGGGGAGCACTGTGCCTCTTCGGAGGCTGGTGGAGGCGGAGCTGGGCAAGATTGACGCAGCAGCTGGGCGCTCCCAAGCTGGAAAGCTGTCATCAGTAGAGAGGAACGCTGTCACCTTCCTGTGCTTGACCACTGAGCCTGTGAGGCGAAAGCTTCATTGCATATGGGGCGACGAGAAGGTCGCGCACAGCGCGATTCCGACAGAGTACCTTGATATCAAAGGCCCTGCGCGATTCCTCCTTGAGACGACTGTCCCTGAAGAGAAAGCGGAGTGGAGAGAGCGCACAGCACCATCTGAGGAGAGAATCCTGCTGTGGTTGGACCGCATGGCTGAGGCGTTCAGCTGGCGCCTGCGAGAAGCGTACGAGAAGGCGGAGCGGCCTGCCATGGACTCGGTCGCCCACAAATTCCGGGATGGTGAGCCAGAGGTCGTCTACCGGACAGCTTGCATGTTCCTGGAGAGCAATCCTGACCAGGTGGCTCTGATGAGCCAGGAGCGCCAGCAAGAGATGCTGCAAGAATTCTTGCGCGGCAAGATTCACAGCATGGTCGCGTCCGCAAAGGCCATGGACCCAACATACAGGCCAAGGACCCACCTGAGGTTCCTGCGGGAGGCGCTGAGCATGTCGGAGGGCGATCAGCAGGCACTGCAGGCAGAGGAGGCTCAAGCAGAGGCAAGCCGAAACAGCCAGAAGGCCATGCTGCTAGATTGCATTCCCCCTCCCACAAAAAACAAAGGTTTTATTTGTCTCAGTTCCCTAGCTTGTTGGAGCTTAGGCTGGAGCTGGTCCGTGTGCGCTTGGACGGGGCCCGCACTGAGTTTGCCCAGCGTGTGAGCCAGATTGCGGACCACGATGAGCAGAATGCAGTGAAGCGCATGGAGTCGAAGGAGGCCGCCCACGAGGCTCTCAGCCACATGCTGGAGGCTCACCTCCAGCAGTTGTACACTGCCGGCACCATGACCCGCTCGGAGAAGGATGCTGCCACAGTGGAGCTCAAGAAGGCCAAGGTGGCCACGATTCACCGCCCCTCTTGGCGCAGATTCATGGAAGCTGCTGGCCGCACAGCTGCCGAGATGCCACTGCCGGAGGGTGTTCCTGCAGCTGACCCCCACACCATGCTCCGTGTGAATGTGATCGACTGCTGCGCCATGGGCCCGACCCACACACAGCTCTACCCAGAAATGGTGGAAGATGCAGCAAAGGAAGCTGCCACTTTTCCAGCTACTTTTCTCGGCATCTGCAAACTGCCGAACGTCGCCAGCAGGAGCAGCAAGAGCTCGGACCCGGAGCAGGCAGTCGAGGAAGCCCAGAGCTCAGTCTTAGAAAAGCTGAAGGAGGGGTCCAACCATTTCCGCGTCCAAGTTGTCCAAATCCACTACGACGCAGAGAGCGTCAAGAGCCCTAAGCGCAAGTACTGGCATCCGCTTGCCATTTTCGTGTCTGACGAGAGGGACGCGGAGGGCAAGCCGGTGTCTCTCTTCACACGGAGGAGCATCTGGGTGCGAGGCTCCCTCGGGAAGTTTGTGGAATGCATGCTCCTTGATTGCTATACTTCTTGGGGTGGATCTGTAGAGCTTGATTTTTTGGGAAATTATTGTTTTATCCACTTGACCCAGAAGCTATTAAAAACTTGTTGCATCGGGGTCGACAGCAGCCAAGGCCCCGTTCGGAGTACAAGCACTGGACCGCCGATTGCAGCAGTGTAGCCAACGTCATGTCCAGCGCCGGGGATAACGAAGTGACTGATCTCCGGCAGCATCATAGCGGTGTCGGGCTGAATTCGCAGCTTCTTCGAGCCTGCCTGAGCGGATTCTCCACCAAGCTGACGGCACACGTCCGAGACTGGACCCCGGCGGATGACTGCCTGAGCCGAGCATGCATGGCTCTCAACGCTGAGAAGCCCAGAGAGCTGCCTCGGCTTGCCTACACAGCGACTGCATGGGAGCACTTCTTACAAGTTGGGGCTGGCAAGAGGTTGATCGAAAATTTGAACGTTGCCATGACAGCGAACCTGCGGAGGATGGTGATCAACAAAGACTACGAGTTGCCAGGCCTGCGAGCTGAGGACTATCAGGCACTCTTGGGGGAAGCTGACTCAGGGAATCCAGCGGCAGCAGATAGCACGCTGCCAATGCCCCGCAAGATCTATGTGTGCATTCCTCGCAAGAGCTCGCGGCAGTGGGAACTTCCCATCCTCGAGAAGGAAATTGCCAAGTGGAAGGCTGACATGCCAGCCTTGGTGGCGGACATCGACAGCCTTGTGTCGCAGCACAACCAGGCGGCAAACCCGTCCGGCACGGCCTACGCGCTCGCTGAGGAGAAGGAAGGCGACCATCAGCCTGAGCCTGACTTACCCCTGGACCGCTCCAAGCTGCTGGAGGACTTGCCGCAGCAGCCGAAGACTGTAGCAGAGATGCCAGGGCAGGTTTTCGAGGTGAAGGCCACCAAGACGCTACTTGCCAGCAAGGAAGTCCCAACTGTCCCCACACTCCCCATCTTCACACTGCGAACACCCCCCGTGCCAGGCTGACTCTCATTTCCAACTCGTGCCACGACCTCTTCGTGACCGCCAGTGAGGACCTCATGCTTGACCCGAACACTACCATGTTCACGGTGCGGGGGAAGTGGCTCTTCCGCGAGAAGGCAGACCAGGCACTCCAAGAAGCAGGGCAAGCTTTCTCAGCCAAGCTGACGCCTGACAGCACGGTGCTCTCGGAGGACTCGGCAAGAAAAGCCTCGCCAGTGCTGGCTGACATGCCGACCACATGCATGCCACTGCAGAAGTATGTCCAGGAACTGGCACGTCGCAACTTCGTCCATCCAAAGCTCATGGGGCACACAATCGGTCGGAAAGATGGCAGCACACAGTATGAGGTCACACCAGCTGGCTCCAATGCGTTCGAAGCTGTGCCGCCAAAGGGCCGGCTGCCGAAGCCGACTGTGCAGAATTTTTCCACCTTCGCAGCCTTGCCAATTCTGCTGGCAGCGGACCGTGTGGAGTTGGTGCCCCGCGTGAGCTTCAATCCTGACAACAACACAATCGAACTGGGCTTCCCAGGAGTTCACGTGACGCGGCCAGTTGCCTTGCTTGCCGGATCGCTGTGCTGCCTGGCCCTCAACCCCAACCGCAACGCGAAGCCAGCCAAGGAGGACGAGTCTGGAGCGGAGAGTGAGGGGGACGACGGTGGGCCGGAGAAGCGTGTCAAGAAGCGCCGCAGGCGCACTCCCAAGCAGATGGCGCTGACACCCAAGCGGGCTCGCAAGGCGAAGGCCCCCAAAGCAACTTGAGCCAGAGTTTTCTGAGGCATGCGAGGCTGATAGCAGAGACTGCGTCTCCTCCTGCACTAGTCGTGCGTCCTCACTGCATAGAACAAACTCCTTGACTCTTACCATTTTGGACCCTGGGGACTGTGGTGACTGTTGGGACCTGAAAATTGTACAGATGTGCACCAGCAGCCTTAGCGGAGCAAGCCAGCAAACACGCTAAGACACTAACAGACACTGTTGTCAGCTTTCGCGTCACCTGTTGGGGCCCCAGGGGGTGAGAGGCAATCTGTCGCCACGCGCATCACGGCCGTCAAAAGCAAGATTTGCCTGCAAAGTTTTAGTAGGGTAGCTGGTGCGAGCGCAGCATGCCACACTCATGCAGCTGCACACGTGTCGGCTCAAAGCGCCGACGGGTCTTCGTGTGACTGGAGGGTAGCAGTCATGCCGCGCTCCCGCATTTGGAGTGAGTCTGCCTTCCACCGCCCCGATTCTAGGGCTGTGTCAGCTGCCGGACTTCCAGCCTGGGTCGCCCGGTTCACATTGACAATATTTGGCATCACCCTCTTCTTGACGAGCCCATGCTTCAGGGACCCTACCTTGTCGCTCAGCTGTCAGGGATTCACAATGCAACACTCTCGTCCCTGCCCTAAGTTGTTTTTGCCTGAGGTTGCCGGACGTGGTGGAACTGTGGTCCGGGGTGGGCTCTGTAGTAGCTGCTGCAGAGCGGAGAGGCCTGGTAGGCCAGGCCATGGACATCTTGCTGACCAGCGACCACGATATGAGAACCCGTCGCGGGTTTGGGCTTGCCCTGGCATGTGTTCTGGCTCTTCCCCCAGGTGGCCTTCTGGTGATGGCGCCTGATTGCTCATCTTTTGTTTTCCCAAACAGTTCCCGATGCCAGCGCAAGAAGCATCGCTGTGCTGGAAATGAGGGATATGGGCCAGTTCGTGCTGGGAATGACATGGCGTGCGAGGCGGCCTTCTTGCTGGCTGTGGCCGCTGCTCGGGGTCTGTTCGTGGCCTTGGAGAACCCGTCGGGAAGCAGCATGTTCAGGTTCCTGCGGCCATGGCTGCGCGTGGTGCCGGGCGGTCTGGCGTGCATTGCCCATCGCTGCGCGTATGCTGATGAGCCAGCAGGCCACCGCTGGTTTAAGCCATACAAGTTCTTGGGACACGGGCCCCAGGGCAAGGATGCCTGGATCGAGAAGGCCATGAGGCGCTGTCACTGCCCAAGCCAGAAGCATGTGCCGCTCATGAAAAAGAGTGCCAGTGGGGTCTCAGGCACGCCAGGCTTGAGCAAATCCGGTCACTACCCCAAGCGCCTTGGAGAACTGCTCGTGAGTGCGTGGCTTCAAGCCCGGGCCAGGGTGCAGGAGGAGGATGAGGACAGCTACACCAGCTACTCAGAGTCCAGTGTGTCAGACAGCGAGCCAGAGGAGAGCCTGATGAACTCTTCCAGCTCCGGCGCAGAAGGCAATTCTCCTGATGCATTTCAGCCAGGCAGCTGGTGA